CACGACCATAATTAGGCCCATCATCAGCTATGCAGCAGTAGTATGGTGGACCAAGACAATCCAGGTAACGACAATTAATAAGTTAAGACGTCTCCAGAGGCGGGCATGCTGTGCAATCACCGGCTGCATGAAAACCACTCCCACATCAGCACTGGAGACAATACTTAACGTGAGACCACTCCACTTGTTTATACAACAGGAAGCTGCATGTACAGCCACGCGCCTAAGCATGCTGGGGCATTGGAGAGACAACAACTCCCCGCACACCAGCATCTTGGCAGACATACACAGGCACTTTCCGTACTTTGCAGCAGTAAACGACCTTATTCCTAAGACGTACGTATTTGACAAAAAATACAAAATTCAACTTTATGAAGACACCCCGGACCGTTGTCTGCATAAGGAGTTGAGGGTCTACACAGACGGTTCAAAAACCAACTGTGGTACGGGCTCGGGTGTCTTCTCCGAAGACCTGAATATACACATCTCGACAGCTTTGGGTGCCTACAACACGGTCTTCCAGGCAGAGTATGTGGGCATCATCAGAGCTGCTGAGGCGATAGAATGTCGCGGGGTAAGAGGTAAACACATTCGTATCCTCTCTGACAGCGCTTCTGTCCTACAGGCACTGGACAACAATATAATGACATCAGGCTTAATTTACGAATGCCACAGTAAGTTGACTAATATTGCGAACGACAATAGATTGACCCTACAGTGGATTAAAGGACACAGCGGCTCAAGGGGTAATGATGCGGCGGACTGCTTAGCCAGGGAGGGGTCTAGCAGGACGGCCATTGGTCCGGAGCCAATTATACCCATACCCTATCGGCAGCTGCGAACCTGGATAAGGGAGCGCTCTCAACGACAACACGACGATTACTGGTCAAAACTCACGGACTGCAGGCAAGCCAGGGAAGCCGTTCCTAAGGTAAACCTGCAACTAACACGTAAGTTAATCAGACTACCTAGACAAGCCCTGAAACAAATCGTGGGTATACTCACGGGTCACGGCTACTTTAACAAACACCTTTGTAATATAGGTATTTCTGACAGCCCTCTGTGCAGAGCCTGCCTGGAGGCGGATGAGACGAGCGCCCATGTCCTACTGGAGTGCAGGGGCGTTGCAAGACAAAGGACTTCTCTAATGGGAAGCCCGAAGACAATAGTAGAGGCCTGCAGCAACATTCGGGGACTGCTGAGCTTTCTGGAGGAGCTGGGATGGCAGGACTGATGCCAATCCCCCACGCAAAATAGGCACTAGGTGTCGAGTTGCGGAAACAGCCCGCCGTACTACTAAGACTAAGACTAAGACTAGGTACTCCAGCCATCTTATGGCAAGACTTAATTATTCCACAAATACAAACTTCTATATTATAGTGCCATATATCACACTTGAACAATTTAAGTAAACTATTAATGAAGTACAAATATTTCTAAAACATGCAATAAAAAACTTATTTTTGAAGTTAAATATGGGTTTGCTTATAAAAGTTTTTTCCATAAGATGGCTGAAGTATATACATAGATTTTTACTTACGACATCAGAATAAAAGGGAATAGCTGTATGTTTTAATCGATCCTCCATTATATAATCAGTAGCCACAGAAATTATTACTGCATATTTTTGCACTTTCATAAAATTTATTTTATACTTGATAGCCATTGGCATCTCCTTGTTGGTTCCTTAGGACAACTTAAAAATGGAATAAAAATAGTAAGTATGTGTTTTATTGTTAATAGCAATTAAGGCAACAATAAATACGTAACATGAATAAAATATAGTAACATAAGTGTTTTACATTGTGCGCGTACTAATAAAATAATTCTGTCCTATTTTAAGGGTTTTCGTATTACGAAAATCACTTTATCCGCGTTTCGTGGTCACCCTTTTAGTGTTTATTTTACAATGCCAGCCGTTGTTTGTTAGTAAAATTCTGAAATATTAGTACCGAAACCTTTCAATAATACGATTTTGGAAAGTAAATGATAGAAAAATAATGGGTTTTATGTTAAAATAAGTGTTAAAAAGATTTTTTTGATGAAATGTAAGCAATTATCAATTATGATAACTTATGACTCACCTGTGCAATACCAAGAAACATCCAGGATAGTGTTTACTTCCACAACCTAGGCCTACACATTTTTGAACCATTTTTCACGTTTTGATAGCGAGAAAAGTCCTAATATGAATCACAACTTTCGAGTCGACAAAAATAGAAATTGACATCCACCATATTGACACATGCGGTGTTACCATTGTTTGAAAATGCCGGCTACCACAATAATGGGGAAATTAAGAAAGAAAAAAATGTTCCGATGATTTAATCAAGGCAATTGTTTCATTAACAGAATATAATTTTACAAATAAGGGGCTTTAGTAATAATTCACCAGATTTAAAAATAACTCGGGAAAATTGAATAATTAGATTGAAATGAGTCAACAAAGGTCACGAATTTCTATTTAATGTAACTGCATATAATATTTGCATACTATTTTTTACTAAAGGTTTAATTAAATATTATAGTTGCATAATATTATAAATTGTTCATCTTGGATTCGATTTCAGAATAGCTTTAACGTACATACTAATTCATAGATAAACTTTCAAGTCTAATGATATTAACGTCAAAGAGTTCATATTATAAGTGTTGTCTAAAAGTTTGTTAAACAGAAATTGCTAACTAATACTGTAATTGAAAATGAAGTGTTGCCAGAACTGATTTTTTATTTACGTCACATTGAAAATTATTATACGCGCTTTTTTTAAAGGTTTCGTCAAGTTATGAGCATTTCATCACATACTGTGGCGCGTTTGCCCCGCCCACAAGGCCATTCTAACCTCTTTCTGCGTTTTGTAGAGAGGGAAGCCCATGCCCCGGGCGGCAAATTAAAGCCTGGCAGACGTGTGATCATCATCATCATCATCATCATCAACAGCCCATCATAGTCCACTGCTGGACTTAGGCCTCTCCAAATGCACGCTACTCAGATCGATCTTGGGCTATTCGCATCCAGCTCCTGCCAGCCACCTCGCGCAAATCGTCACTCCATCGTGCCTGAGGACGTCCTACACTACGTTTGCCTAGACGCGGTCTCCACTCCAGAACTCGTCTACCCCAACGGTTATCGGTTCTTCGGCAAATATGGCCAGCCCACTGCCACTTCAACTTGCTAATCCGGTGGGCTATGTCGATAACTCTGGTTCTCTGTCGGATTACCTCATTTCTGATGCGATCCTTCAGAGAAACGCCGAGCATAGCCCTTTCCATAGCGCGCTGAGCGACTTTGAACCTGTGGACCAGCCGTACCGTCAGTGTCCACGTCTCGGCTCCGTATGTCATCACAGATAGGACGCACTGATTGAAGACTTTCGTCTTTAGGCACTGTGGGATCGACGATGTCAGGACTTGACGTAGCTTCCCAAACGCTGCCCAACCTAGCTGAACTCTTCTATTCACCTCGTCCTCAAAGTTGTTTCTACCCAACTGCAATGTCTGCCCGAGGTATACATATTTTTGAACAACTTCGAGAACGGCACCGTGTATTGCAATCGGTTCCGGTAGAACATGTTCATTGAACATGACCTTGGTTTTATCCAAGTTCATCCGTAGGCCGATGCGTATAGAAGAGTCAGCCAGGTCATTCAGCATCTGTTGTAGGTCCTGCAGGGTTTCTGCCATGATGACGATGTCGTCTGCAAATCGCAAGTGAGAGATGCGTTCCCGATTTATGTTGATGCCATGTCCTTTCCAGTTCAGCGTCTTGAACATATCCTCCATTGCATTAGTGAACAATTTCGGGGAAATAACGTCCCCTTGTCTCACTCCACGATGCAACGGTATGGGACTTGTTTGCTGATTCTGTACTTGGACAGACATGGTGGCGGCTTCGTAGAGACATCTTATCACTTGGATGTATCGCCAGTCGACTTGGCAACGCTGCAGGGACTCCAGGACAGACCAGATTTCAATCGAGTCAAAGGCCTTCTCATAGTCCACAAATGCTAGGCACAGGGGCTGATTGTACTCCTCAGTCTTCTGTATAATCTGCCGCACTGCGTGGATGTGGTCTATGGTGCCGTATCCGCTCCGAAACCCAGCCTGTTCCGGTGGTTGGAAGTCATCAAGTCTTTGCGCAAGACGGTTACTGATCACTCTTGAGAACAGCTTATAGACGTGGCTTAGAAGGGATATGGGTCGATAGTTCTTAAGTAGGGTCTTGTCCCCCTTTTTAAAGGACAAGACGACCACACTCCTACTCCACGCCTCCGGAGTTCTCCCTTCGAACAGGACAGTGTTAAAAAGCTTTTGGAGCTCCCTCAGTACGTGTGATCAACGTTGCGTTAATGATGAGTTGTAAACTATGTGTATACAGGGCAAATTATATGGCAAATAAAAAAAAGACCCAATTTTATGTGGCAAAATAGTATTTATTAATTTCGACATAAGGAGCATTGACGCCTGTAACAATTATCATAATCAAAATGGAACTGGTATTGATATCAAAATTAACATTATCATTACCTTAATAATAATAGTTATACGCACTGTACTCTCCCGTAATTTAAATTTACTTCTGCACATTTTTTATTTGTATGTAATGTAGAGTAGTTAGTGCAATCTAATTACGTTCTAGTCGCTTTTAGTTATACGGATGGGTGCCCTGTGTAAACAAATATACCAAATACTTAACACGACTTCATTAGAACGCGTGTACAGTGCACATGTGGTACTTTTATAATAACAAAAACAATTCACAAACACGAAACATAAGAGTTAAAAAATATCACATGACATCGCGTCGCATTAATGATTAACTTTAATAAAAGAGTAAGATCACCTTAACAAAAAATTATAACAATTAAAAGCAAACTTAGGGCCAAGCAGGGCTGTCGCCCACTCAACAGAGAAAATATTTAAACAATTTTAGGCGGGTCACCAACCTGGGGGCCAATCGCATAACGAGATCAAACAAAACAGAACAAAATGAAATCGTAAGCGATAGCGATAGCCATAGCAATACTGAAAGGCAATTAGCCCCCAGGGGAATCGGAAGAGATCCGGCCCAGATTTCCACTCCTCTAAATCCGGCCCTGAGCAAACTGGTACATTAAATCACATTTTAATACTTAAAATTAAACTTCGTTTGAAGAAGATATTTAACGTTCACCTGTGCCACGTCGTAAACGATGTATCTGAAAATGTATGCTCAGAAAATTATCATAATGAATGAACGAAGCGTGTACAGTTTGTACACCTTTTAATGTAGTTATTGTTGAGATTTAGTTAATTGGAGTGCAGGAGAAAAAGATCAGAGAGAGATAAATACCGAGATATATTGTAAACAAAGTTACAGTTAAGGTGTAGGCTATTCTTGTCTTTAATGTGTGTTAATTAGTTCGCGTTTCTAATTGCACTGTCTTTAAATAAAGAAATAATAATTTATAATTACGATAATATGACACTCTAGGTAAACGCGGGTCATTGACGCGGCCTGAGTGACGTTCGCGGTGTTAGCAAATTTTTATGTACAAGTAAACTGTACATCTTGGCAACCCGAGAAAAACAAAGAAAAGAGATAAAAGGTTGACATAACAAAAGAGCAAGGAATAGCCTTAAAATTTAATAATAAATATTAACAAAGCAAAAATTGTTATTTTAATCGAAATTGAATGTAGCGTTGCTTGTTCCGGCGTTGAGACTCCGAGGAGGCTTCTTCGGGGGAGCTTCTGCTTCAATGTTGTCCCTCTGCATGTCATGTCTTCGGTAAAAGGTTTGAAGTTCGATGTCTGTAGGATGTGGTTGTTGGTTGTTATTCGAGATTGTGTTGTTTTTCTTCAAACAGTGAGGGCAGTATTTCCTTACAACCAACACAAGCAAAATTGCAACAGCTGACGTCAGTAACACGTAACTAATAATATATTGATGTACGTCATGACTTGATATTGTTGTCAATTTTTCGTTGTCTTTCAAACGAGTAATGTCTTCTTCGATCCCTTCCGTTTCACGAGCTGTAGATTGAAACACCATACGTGGCGTGTGATTATAAGTTAAGTTTACTATCTTGTTTACTGATGTATCCAATGTATTAGCTGCGATGTTATAATTCATCTTCATGCGGCTGCTGTAGTGATTGTGGGAGTAGATTGTAAAATCCTCAGATTGCAGCAGGCATCCCTGAGGTAACGTCACTATTCCTGATGACGTCATGGTGTGTGATGTAACGTGACTATTGCATATGGTACGTAATGAACACGTATCACAACATATGGTAAGCCACTTGTTAGGAGAATGTAACTCGATCCACGCGTTCTTGCATGAGGCGCGTTCGACGTCACAGGGCTGGTCATTTTGATGCGAAAGCAGTTTCGCTTCGCACGGAGCTGTTTTGCTATGCATATTGAAAACAGGTTTGTTTGTTTTGCATATGTATTTGTCCGATCTTTGTTTTCGGCAGTGCTCGAGATCTTCATCATTGAGTGAAATGTATATATTTTTCTCCAAATTCACTGCAATATATTTGAAAGTTGTCTGTACGTATGATGTGTCCATCTCCTCGAATTTGACAGGTAATGGTATAATTTGATATAAGTTGAAATCTTCATTAGTTATTAGCGGTATGTGCATTTCGAAAATAATATAGTTCTCAGTGACTCGAGCTCTCACATAAATCAAAGTGTAGAGTTCCTTTATATCTTCCTTGTAGTTTTGCACTGGTAGTGATAAGTCCTTTGGTATGCTCCCAGATATGTCCGTTAATTGTTGTATGAGATGAGCAGGAGAAATCATATGCACATCTATGTGTCCTCGATAGACATTAGTGAGCGAGTCGAATAACATATTTTGGAAAGATCTTAGGTTGTTCATGAGTAAATACGCTGTCATCGAAACAGAGTTGAAATAGGAGTTGGCGGAAACTATTTGCATTTCTGTCTTCAATCTCGCCATATTTAGTTCAGTTTGATTCAGGAAGTTCTCGATCATATTAAACTGACGTTGAATATTATCTTCACTTTTTCTCAGCGCTTTATTTTCCAGTTCGACGATACTTGTTTGGTTTTTTATTAGCTCCAGTAAAAAGTCTTCATTGGTATGGATGGCTCGTATATCATTTTCGTATTTATGGGCGAACCGTTGATCTAAAACTCCAAATAAGCTGTTCGCTACATAACCCACTCCATCCAATAAGCCACGTTTCTTCCTGTTACTTAAATGTTTATGAGGATTCATAAGAATTGTGTTATAATAATCTAGAAGTTCCATTTCGTGACTTAGCTGTTCTGTTGTCGCTCTGCAGTATAGTAAGTTAGTTCTGTAGCACAAGTTCTTCACAGTATCAAAATAATGTTCAATACGACGAGTTCCTTCCCAGTAGTTTGTTATGTTATAATACATAATGAGTATCCATTCATCGTGCATCAATTGCATTTTACCCATTGCGTCATAGTAGATAGGGCGCTCACGTTCGAAGTTAGTAATTTGAGCGCTTGACGACACGCCGTCAATGGAGCCATATGATCCCGATAAAAATGTAAACATGGTTAACATTGCTAATAACAGCTTAGATGTTTTGTTTCTTCCTTTTTTCTTTGAGCGCTCCAAGTTTGTTTTTATTTCTTGTTTAGATGAAAGATCCTCGTGATTTTCAATTTCAGTGTCTATGGGCAGGCGGGATAATTTTATAACTGGCCGCTTGGTTATTCCCGTTTGAGTTTTTATTGTTGTAACTCGAACATATCCGTCAGAACCAGGGTGAGTTTCAAGGACGCGCCCCAAGGCCCATTTTCCTGGAGGTAAGTTGTTATCCTTGACCAATACTACTTCACCGACCTTAATGTTGTTTGTGGGCTTGTTCCACTTGCTACGAGTTTGCAGTTGAGTCAGATAATCGTTCGACCAATTTTTCCAATATTGCTGGAACATTTGTTCTGTCAGTTGCCATCTGCGACGAACGCCGATATGAATATCATTGTAATCGGATGATGGTAACGTCATTATTGAGCTTCCGGTAAGGAAATGACCAGGAGTCAAACAGTTGTAGAATTCTACAGGATCCTCAGTAAGTGGACACAAGGGCCTCGAGTTTAAGCACGCTTCGATCTTGGCCAAGAGAGTAGTCATCTCTTCGTAGGTGAGCTTCTGGTCGCCTAGTACTCGACGTAGGTGGTGTTTCATCGATTTGACAGCTGCCTCCCACAAGCCGCCAGCAGAAGGCCAGGCAGGGGCGTTAAAATGCCATTCTACTTCTAATTTGTTTAGTTGGTTGAAGAAGTCAGGTGTCATAATTTGTTTGAATTCTTCAAATTCTTGACGAAGTACCTTTGCAGCACCAATGAAGTTAGTTCCGCAATCTGAGTACATGTGTTTAGGGGTGCCACGTCTTGCACTCATCCGCTGGAAGGCTGCAATAAAGGTTTCAGTGCTGAGATCCGAGACAAGTTCAATATGTACCGCCTTAGTCGCCATACATATAAATATTGCTATATACCCCTTTGAAGTTTTAACGCCTCTGCCTTTGTTTATCTTGAGTTCGATATAACCAGAATAATCAACTCCTGTGAAAGTGAAGGGTCGACATGGAGTTACTCTTTGTTGTGGCAGGTGACTCATAATCTGATGGTTGTCAGTTTGACTGAAACGGTGGCAACGAACACATTTTCGCAGTTGAGTTTTGACAGCCCTATTGCCTCCGACGATCCAATATCTCTGCCTTATATGAGTCAACGTAAGCCGCGCTCCTCCGTGCAATGTTGTTAAATGCGACTGTTCTATTAAAAGTTGCGTAAATCGGCCAGTGCGTGGTAATATGATGGGATTTTTCATTTCCAGAGGTAAGTTTGAGTTCTGTAGGCGACCACCGATGCGTATGATTTTGTCGTTATCCAGGTAAGGGCTCAACTTTAAAATCACACTCTTCTTAGAAAGAATTCCATTGCACAAAAGTTGTTTATATTCTTGCCAAAAAAAAGTTTGCTGCACGTGTTTTATAATCATTTTGTTGGCTTCATGTATTTCACATGTTGATAGGTAAGTAGTTTCAGGTTTCCCTTTGGCGCGCATATTTGTTATACAGCGAAGTATCCATGCTGTTATTCGTAATACTCGTGTCAATGAACTACAATTATGTAATAATGTAGTTATAAAATGTTCTTTTCCAGGTTCCGAAAATTTTTTCTTTTGACACAGATGATCATCGCCGATGTTGGTATAGAATATATTGCAATTTAGGTTAATTTCGGTTTCTACATCCTTTAGAAATGGAGGTCCATAGAACCATAAGTCAAAGTTGACTAGTTTGCTTGGTAGCATCCCTCTCGTAGCGCAGTCAGCCGGGTTCAGTTCTGATTTGACGTAACGCCATTGATTTGTAGGTATAATGTGTTTGATTTTTGACACTCTGTTAGCTACATATGTCTCGCGCTTCGTCGTGTCGCTTTGGAGCCAAGCTAACACGACTTGTGAGTCACACCAGGCTCGTGTTATTAGTTGGTATCCAGGTAAAGCTTGTTGAGTTTTTTCCATCAGTTTAGCCAATAGTAAGGCACCACAAAGTTCAAGCCTAGGCAGTGTAGTTTTTTGTTTTGTTGGGGCAACCCTCGTTCGAGATGCAAGTAATGTAATTATCGGAACTCCGGATTTATTTGTCACGCGACTGTAGATAACACAAGCATAAGCTTTCTCGCTTGCGTCACAGAAGCCAAGTAATTCAATACATTGGTTTGTTTCGCTGATCCATCTCTTCAGAGTTATGTTTTTAATAAGTGGCAGTTCTTGTTTTAGCCTTATCCACTCCGACTCAATATCTTGCGGAACTTTATCATCCCAGTCGATGTTGCTCATCCAGAGTTTTTGAAATAATATTTTTGCGGTGATCGTCACGGGAGAGAGCCAGCCCAGCGGGTCGTAGAATTTTGAAATTTCCGAAAGTAATAGTCTTTTTGTGAGTCGAGTTATATTTTCATTTACAGACCAGTTAAGATGAAATGTGTCGGTGTCAGTGTTCCAGCGTAGTCCCAGAGTTTTTGAAGGTTCTTCGGTTTTGAAATCATAGCTGTTTGTAGTTGAAATCTGCTCTTTAGGTAAGTTTTCAAGTAAAGTTGGGTAGTTACTGGACCATTTGCGTAAATTCATGCCCCCACCCTTCAATAAAGCGATTAGGAACTGCTGTAGCTCCTTAGCTCCCAAAAATGAGTGG